AGTAGAACGAGCCACAGAGGCCCAGTTCACGCCCACAAGTAACTTGGCTGGTTAATGTCTTTGCCTATTTGTAGATACCAGTCCCTCCATCACTGGACTTGCATTTTTTTTTGTCGTGTCAGGAGCGACCTGAGAAACTGCAAGTCGCTTCTGGTGTGAGAGAATTGGCCGTCTGCAAGGACGTTGCCCAGGGGATGCCCAGATGATTTGATGTTTTATCATCCTTGTGGGAGGCTTCTCTCATGTCCCCGCATGAAGAGCTGGAGCTGATAGAGGGAGCTCATCCGCCTCTCCCCGGATTCAAACCTGTGACCTGTCAGTCTTCAGTCCTGCCGGCACAGGGATTTAACCCACTGCGCCACGGAGGGCTCTGCTGGACTTGCATGATACTGCTTTGTTTGTTGACTGTAGAATTCTCATTGGATGTAACTGTGCTCATAATTGGCAAGGCTATCAACATCTTTGCATACTGCTCCCTGACTGGACTCTGAAGGGTTTTGCTTGCAATACATTTCCTCTTGATCTGGGTGAACTGGGAGTGGGAGGGGAGCAGAGGAGACAGAAGAAAGGTTTTGCTTAGGGTGACCATGCATGATTAACTGCTCATGAAGGCAGCACAGATGTGGCACTATTAGTGTTGTTATTGTCCCTTGAATGGAGGGGGATAAGGAATGGGTCATATCAAGTGCCATCTGCATTATGCAGAGGACAAAGAAGAAAACAACATAAAATTTAATGTTTGAAATTGCCCTGTTTTAATTTTTAAATGCTATTTTAACATTGTTTTTAAGATTCCTTTAAAAACATTTAAAGTGTCTTAAAATGTTTGATCTTTGTTCTCCTTTAACTGCTTTTCTTTGTTCATCACCTTGGAACTCTTGTGGGCTGAGCTGTAATATAGAACTTAAATTTAATATAAATATCAATTTAATAAAAGCCTGGATCCTCTTTGGTAATTATGAATGTGTAATATACAGTTGCACATTCAAAGCAGATATATATTAATTATCCATATGTCCTCCCCCCCCCCCCCCCCCCCCCCCCCACCCCCCCCCCCCCCCCACCCCCCCCCCCCCCACCCCCGCCTCCCCCCCCCCCCCCCCCCCCCGCATTTTAGGACCAGGAAATGGCTGTGAAAGTCTCCTAAAGTGAAGTATGGAAAAGGATCAAATGTTAGATAGTTGCTTCTTGGCTGACAGGGACTCCTTTCATCTGTATTGCTATTTTTGCCTTTCTCTTTTTTCTTCATTTTGTTAAGATACCTTAAAAATCCAATGTAAAAAAATGCAGCTGGCTGTTATTTCAGTTGTGATCTGTGGACAGAACAATATTTCCATGATATGTGTAATGCGGTCATTAGTAGTTGTTTGAACATGATGGTTGGCACATACTTCTCTATGGAAGTTGGATCTGTCCTATTAGGGGTCTTATATTAGGGGTCTCCAAGGTAATTTACCAGTCCCTTGCTCAGGGTAAACCTAAGTCTGAAATGACTTGAAAGCACACAACAACAACAACAACAACAACCCTATCTCATCAGCCAAAAGCAGGCCCACACTTCCCATTGAAATACTAAAAAGTTTATATTTGTTAAAATTCTTCTTCATTTTAATTATTAGGAGCCCCCGGTGGCGCAGTGGGTTAAACCCCTGTGCCGGCAGGACTGAAGACCGACAGGTCACAGGTTCAAATCCGGGGAGAGGTGGATGAGCTCCCTCTATCAGCTCCAGCTCCTCATGCGGGGACATGAGAGAAGCCTCCCACAAGGATGATAAAAACATCAAAAATCACTTGGGCATCCCCTGGGCAATGTCCTTGCAGATGGCCAATTCTCTCATACCAGAAGCGACTTGCAGTTTCTCAAGTCGTTCCTGACACGACAAAAAGAAATTAAATATTGTATTGTTTTTAAGATATGTGCAGTGCGTGTAGGAATTCATTCATTATTATTTTTCAAATTAAATCCGGCCCTCTAACAATTTGAGGGACTGTGACCTGGCCCTCTGTTTAAAAAGTTTGAGCATCCCTGTATTAGGACAACAAAATCACTATTTCAGTTCAAACAGGAGCATGTACATTTTAAAGCAGCCAGCAGATGGAGCTGCTATATTTAAAGAAAGCAATTTAATGGTCATGGAATGAAGATTTCTGCAACATGAAATCAAACACAGCTTGTTATGCATTTTCAAGCTGAAAGACAAAGGAGGGGCTGTTAGATGGCACAGTGAGCACTTTCCCACTTCCTGAGATTCTGTCTCCACTTTTCCATAATGTGCCATAATATCACATTGAATCTAGTGTGGCATAGGCGTCACATGCTATCAGATGTGGAGGACTGACAATTTTTTTCTCAGTGTGCATGGAACTGGTACCATATTTGGGCCTTTTGTCTGCAGTTGTTTTTCCCTTTTCTGGAAACTCATCAGGGCCCAGAAGTCAATTACTAATCCACCAACCACTGCATCCCATTTTTAACCAGTTTCTGATTTTCACAGGGACACTTGGCCTGCATTGAAGGACATACTGTGTTTATTATTATTGGATATAAAACTTGTGCTATCATTCTTACTGTCCTTCCCAGTCTCCCTCCATCACTTAGGCTACAAACCTTCTTCCTCACGCTATATTTCTTTGCACAGATAATTTTTTTAAAGGAGAATTAAGTTGTTGCATGTTTAAAATGGTACAGGTCAGAAACAAATCTACCATTGAAGTGAGAATTTGACTTGGACTAGATTATACAGCATGCCAGGAGCCTCCGGTGGCGCAGTGGATTAAACCACTGAGCTGCTGGGCTTGTTGACCGAAAGGTTGCAGGTTTGAATCCAGGGAGTAGCGTGAGCTTCCGCTGTCAGCCGCAGCTTCTGCCAACCTAGCAGTTTGAAAACATGCAAATGTGAGTAGATCAATAGGTACTGCTCTGGCGGGAAGGTAACGACGCTCAATGCAGTCATGCCGGCCACATGACCTGGAAGGTATCTACGGACAATGCCGGCTTTTCGGCTTAGAAATGGAGATTAGCACCAACCCCCAGAGTTGGACACGACTGAATTTAATGTCAGGGGACAACCTTAACCTTTACCTACCAGGAGAAGTACCCAGCCTTGCTATTTCTCTTCTGTTTCCTCCCCTATTTTTTCCCTTGGTGTTTTATCCACACATCACCACCCATTTCTTCAGCTTTTCCTTTTCTTTCTCATTCTTATTAGGAACCCCCCTTCTATATTTCCATATTCGACTCCCTCCAATTCCTGACAGCACAATTTTCTACTAATACAATTTTATGGTGGACCAACTGCATACACAGAAAGCTGATTCCTCATCTAGAAACACTCTTTTTAGTTGCCTTCTAGTTAGCAAACAGAAAGCTGGGTTTTCTTAATTCTGCATCATTTTCAAGCCAAGGTGCTACAAAACTTTTCATGACATTTTCTTCTAAGAGCGCCTATAAGTTAACATGCAATGAAGATATGCAAGACAGCTTTTCCAGCAATGGAGATTCCACAAAGTTTAGGATCTAAAAATTACTCTACTATACCATTATTTGGCTCCATGCCCACAACCCACTTGCAAACATTCATAAAAATCTAGCTTTGAATTTGGTTTCCAATCAGAATGACTGGGCGAATGTAGTTAAGTGTTTTCTGAAATTAGCACAGGATTGTAGTCTAGTGGTATGAACACCAAGATCCTGGTTAAAATCTTGTAGTGTTGGGCAAAGCATTATTTCTCAGCCTCTGCCTCCCTATCTCAATAGGGAGGAAATTAATGTCAGACTTGAAAGAAAAGGTATGTGAAACACTTTGCAGTTTAGGAATTATTAAGCATCTTTGTGATTTTTAGAATAATGATGGCTGACTGAAGAGCAGCTTAAAAATATGAATGTTTACATAAAAGCACATAATTGTATTCTCAAGGAACTGTATGCAGAATTACGTCCTGTCAGAAAACTATATCTTTTCTTCTTGACCCATTAAACTCAAACTTTAGTGGTGATCCATATCAACTTTGTAAGTATGGAATCATGAAGTGTATACACTTAAATGTTCATTCCACTGAAAAGAATATTGATTTGAACGCCTCATTTAAGTTAGTAAGATTTGCTTTAGCTAAATGCTCTTAATTTTATTTAAATTTTAATTGAATTTTTTATTTAATTGTATATTGGAGGTATATTGTTTTTAAGGCATTGAATTATTGCCTATACTGTAAGCCGCATTGAGTCCTCCTCAGGGTCGAAAAAGGTGGGATATCAATTATTTATCGTGTCATCAGCAACCATACCATTGTATTACATTTCTAACAGAACAAAACAAACAAACAGATAAAAAAGCACAAATTTTGCAAGCTTGGTAGTTGATTAAATGTCCTTTTGACCGGTATCTGGCCACTTGGGGTGCCTCTGGTGTTGCCGCAAGAAGGTCCTCAATATCAATATAGTAAATAAATAAACAACCTACTTAAAAATCAGGCTGCTCATACCACTCAAATTAATGTGTTATAAATATGTTTCTTTTGATTTCAAAGTGAATTACCCAACTTTCTTTAGAATATTCCCTAAAGATATTATGATATACCCTTGCAGCAACATTGGAAGTTTTCTACTGGAGTTTTCCGCATAGTTTTCTATTATGTTAGTAATGCATAAATTACATAAGAAAGGAATGTGCAAAATGACTCAGCAGAGAGGATCCTCGTAGATAAGCAGTCCTCATTCCATCACAATATAATACTGCAGGAATGTCTAAATCCATTCCATGTGCTGCTGGCACTCAAGATGCAAACAATAGCAAGATGTGAATGGCAGCCTATATTTATAACAGGAATTAGCAACTAATGGGTATGCTTCCAAAATTACCCACCAACTTCACTAGGATAAAGAATGCTTAACTTTATATACTAATGTGGACAATTATTCTTTCTTGGCATCAGTCTGACCCCCTCATATATTAAGGTGCATACAATCAACTTTTTCACATGGACGTACAAAGTAGACATCCTTTACTGATGTGAAGCTGTTTAATAGAAGCTAGTGCCTTGAATACGACAGTGTACCTTTATAATCTACAGTGCAGAGTAATGATTTAAGAGAGCAACAAGAAAAAAATCAGAAACAGAAACTGGCAAGAGTAAAAATGCAATAATTAAACATTTGTTGTTTTTAAGCAGTATGTATATACTTTAAATACTTTTAAGACCTTAAATGAAGATGGATATGACTTAAAGGCTCTTTAAAAACCCCAGTCATGTTAAACAGGACAATTCATTTCCTTTATGCACTATTGCTTGCTTTGGTGTTCCTTTTTGTTTTAGTTCATGTCCACAAGCCTTATGTGCTCATGTTCTTTTCAAATGTTTGGCGTTATAGTGCGATCTCATATCTTTCCTCAGGTTAAATTTGGCACCACAAACACCACATGTGTACAAGTGAACATCCATGTGCTGCTCCAGTTCTTCATTATTTGGGAAAATCTGAAAGCAGACCTGGCATATTGTCTCTCCAGCAGATAGATGGGATATCATGTGCCGGACGTGGTCGTGCTTTCGGAAGTTTCCTTGGTCGCAAATGGAGCAGACATACCTAGCCATGCCTTTGTGCATATCATTGTGAAGGCGCAGTTGGCGTTCTCTTAGGAACTGCTTACCACAAGTCTGACAAACAAACTGTTTTTCCTTGGTGTGCACAGTATAATGTTCCCGCAAATGACAACGCTGATAAAAGCCTTTCCCACAGAGACTGCAGAAATGTTTGCGGCGATGGTCCCTTTCATTCTCTTCCAAAATGGTATTCTTGAACAGATCTTGGTCCAAGCAACTGGACATGTGTTCAACCACCAAGTTTTCTGTTTCAAAACGGAGGCCACAGTTAGGGCATCGGAAAGGGCATGCTGAATCCCTGTACAGTTGTTTCTTTGGGAGACTGTTCATCTGGAAATGACTGTCCCCAAACTCATCCAACATCTCAACATACATCATCTCTTGGTTTTCAGCTTGTTCCTCGGGGCTCTCTTCTGGGTCAATTTTCTCTTCTGCATTTCTTACGCCATTCGTGGTCAAGTCTTGGGGCTCTCCACAACTCTGGGCATGATCCTGCAGCTGTCGTCCTTTGACTAATATCTGGCCACATTTCCCACAGGCACATATATTTTCTATGTGTTTGGATAAGTAATGAGAAGACAGGTCTTCTTCTGTGATTGTCAACCCACACAGTTCACAGGATGCGTGTTCTGTCACTTCCTTGACTACATTCACTTTATTGTTAAGGATCCTGGCACTTCTAAAGTATTTCCTAGTCCCTCCATCAATAGGCATGTGAGGTTTTAAGAGAGCTTTCCTAACACGTCTGCTTTCATTCACCTCTTCCTCAATGTAATATCTATAGACTGGCTCATCATCATCTAGATCATCATTGTCGGTGGAATCATTACCATCTGTCACCTTGATAATGTTGAACTCTTTCAGGCCATCCACTGGGTGGTCATCCGGCTCCATCTTGACAATAATCCTTTTCCTCTCACTGGCTCGGCTTCGTTCTTCGTCTAACTGCTCCAAAGTAAGGCTGCTGCCTTTCCCACTTGTTACATTTGATGCTGGGGATGAAGACCTGTCCGTAGCATGGTCTCCATCTGCTTTGTATTTTTCCAACTGGGAAGATGACATTGTAAGAGCAGAGTCTCCCTCACTGTTGTCTTTTGTTTCAGCCCCATAATACTTGACATTCTGATATGAATGCCTGTTAGTGCATGACGTGATGTGCTCATCTAACAGCCGCTCGCAGCTGAAGCTGAAGCCACAGCCATCACATGTAAAACTTCTTCCAAAGCGCCGTGAATTGGATACTCGGTCTTTGGTGCTTGAGTGCTTGGGCACAGTACTCCTTTTGCAGCTTTCCAAGGGCTGCTCAGGGAAACTGCTCAGCTGCAAGGGTTCCTCATCCACCTCCCTGCTCTGGGAGGTGCTCACCGTTGAACTTGGAGGCTCGACACCCCACCTGTTTGCTTCACTCCCACTTCTAGCCAACGTGTCTTCATACATCCGGACGCCAAAAATCATTTTGCTATTTTGGGTGCTAGAAGCAGAAGAGGAACACTGCAACCCAGAGGAGTTTGCATCTTGTATATCTTCTAAACATTCTGGCACGTTATAGAGCTGAAGGGAATTCATGGCCACTTTAAACTGATCAAAGTTGGCTGGGGCTGTCATGATTTTCCCTAAGTACATAAACTGTAAAATGAGATCAAAGCATTCGGCTGTAATCTTCATGTTGCTGAGATTGAGCTGTGCTGTGCTGTGCTGCTGGCTCATGAAAAACATCCTAAAGTAAGAACTGCAGGCGGCCAGGACTGCTTTGTGAGCCTGGAAGTAGATATCGTCGATCGCAATGCAGCAGTCGCAGAGGAATCCCCACTCCCTTTGGTTGTTGAGCTGCTGAAGAACATAGTTGCTATGGCTTGTCCTTGCCATCTTGTGCTTGAATCACAGCTCTGTGTAAACAGAAGAGGGGGAAGAAAAGTCATTTATCACCTTTGTTGTAAAAACCAGAATAGTCTGAACATAGGTCTAATCAGTCACTATACACATGCTTCTTGATCCAAAGTCACATACTTCTTGATCCAAGGAAGTTCTTGATTTTCTTTCCTGTCTGTTACCCCAATGATGAGGAAAGAGTCGAAAGCAGTGGTTCTCAATTTGTGGGTCCCCAGGTGTTTTGGCTTACAACTCCCAGAAATCCCAGCCAGTTTACCAGCATTTACCAGACCCAATTCAAAGTGCAGGTTCTTACCTACAAAGCCCTGAACAGTTTGGGACCCGCCTACCTACGTGACCGCATTTCTGTGTACGAACCCACATGATCTCTTCAATCATCTGGAGAGGCTCTGCTCTCGATCCCACCAGCATCACAGGCGCGATTGGTGGGGATGAAAGAGAGGGCCTTTTCGGTGGTGGCCCCTCGACTCTGGAACTCACTCCCTAAAGACATCAGGCAGGCCCCAACCCTGGCAGTCTTCAGGAGGAGCTTGAAGACGTGGTTGTTCCAGTGTGCCTTCCCAGAATAATGATCCCATAGCACTTTGTCCCTCTAATGCACATTTACATTTTTTAGGTCTGCTCGTATGTCTTTCCACAAATGCCAACTATCACCTTTTCGTCCATGTTTCAGCACTATTTCCAATTTTAATTTTACATTTGGCCTTCCCAAACTTTTAATTGTATGTTGTCTTATTGATAATGTTATATGTCTATTGTCTATGTTCTTATTTTAATTGCTTGTATTGTTGTGATTATTGCTTGTATTGATGTATTGTGGGCTCGGCCTCATGTAAGCCGCACCGAGTCCCTTGGGGAGATGGTAGCAGGGTACAAATAAAGTGTTATTATTAGGACTTCTTGGAATTGGAAGGCCAAAACATCTGGAGACCCACAAGTTGAGAACCACTGGTCTCAAGCAAGACTGGGGAATGGATTTGGCTCTGGGTGCTCGACTTTTCTTTAGGACTAATCCAGGAAACTGGATGATGTCAAAGAATGGGTGTCTGCTCTCTCCAAGTCTCTTAGCACCTATTACAGCTTTGCCCCAAGACAAATATGTTTGGAACAAAAGTTATTAGGAGCTTGAACTGGAGTTAATAAACAACTGAGTATAATTACATTAATCAAGTCAGTCAGAAAATCAGGTTCTCAATACTAGGCCTGGTCAGTCCAAAGGTCTCATTGTACCAAACTATTACAGACTCTGAAATACCAACTGTATTCTGCTTTGTACTTGAGGTGCACAAGATCTTGGTTATCTTGGATCTCCACCTAGTGTGTTTGTGTTTCTGTGTGCCTGTGCTTTCTAAATAATTGCGACAGCAATGGTGTTTCTGAAGATGATTTGGGCTGTAAAGTTACAGTGAAATGCTGACACCAACAGAGCTCAAGGCAGGCATGTTTGCCTACTTGAAAAACACCATATATTTGAAAGATCTGTAGGCATCTTGCTTTTCTGGCTAAGCAGGCAACATTATGGTTTTAATTACTTTACACCTACATCCAGAGAGCACTTTGGGCTCAAACAATGATAGATCTGGACCAAACTTGGCATGAATATTCAATATGCCCAAATGTGAACACTGGTGGAGTTTGGGGAAAACAGACCTTGACATTTGGGAGTTGTAGTTCCTGGGATTTATAGTTCATCTACAATCAAAGAGCCCCTTGAACTCCAACAACAATAGAATTGGGCTGAACTTCTAATACAGAACCCCCATGACCAACAGAAAATACTGGAGGGATGTGGGATTCACTGTCTGTTTCCAAAAAGAAGAGAAGGACAGGCAGAGAAATCTTCAGCCTTCTCTGCCAAAGGGGTTCCCAAGACCATCAGAAATATGTGTTTTCTGGTGGTATTTGGGGATCCCTCTGAAACCCCCTCTCAACCCCCCCAGGGGTCCTGACCCTCAGGTTGAGAAACACTGCACTAATGTATACCATACATTAAACGCAGGTTTGGGAGTCAAAAATTGTTTATGATCAGAGAATAAGTTGAGGGTCATTCCACAGAGGAGGGAAGGCACCAATGCCACCTCCTGGCACCCAGTCATGGCACTGTGTTGGACTAGGATACTGGGAGACTATGGTTTGACACATACACATACCCAAATGGCTATGGAAACCACAGGTGACTAGTGCTAGTCACTCTTTTGCAATATGTTTTCGTGGAAATATGTGATCAAGGGGGATTGTGCTATTGTCTTCTTCTCAGGATGGGAGAATATGATTGCATAAGTTCATACAGTAAATTTCCATGGCTCAGAAAAGACTTTGGAAGTTGTGGTGGCACAATGGGTTAAACCCTTGAAGGTCAGCAGTTCGAATCTACGAGTTGGGATGAGCTTCCATCTGTCAGTCCTAGCTTCCTATGTGATGACATGAGAGAAGCTTTCCACAGGATGGTAACACATCCTGATGTCACCTAGGTAATGTCTCTGCAGATGGTCAATTCTCTCACACCAGAAGTGTCTTGCAGTTACTTCAAGTTGCTTCTGACATGATAAAAAAAAATCAAAGACTTGAACCCTGGTTTCCCAGAGTCCTAGTCCAACACTCAAACCACATCATGACACTGACTCACATTGCCATGGAGCTACTGAGGAGTTAAGATCAGCACAGATCTAATGCTAACAATGGTGTGGGAAGGGAGGAAGGAATTTGCAACTGCAAGACTGGTGAAAGAAGAACATGGGCCTGTGGGTATGTGTCCTAATCAAAAATAACAGAACAGGCAGACTTACTCCTGGGACTTAAATCTTAGCTTTTGCGCTAACAAAATCTTTTGCCAACCTTCTCAGTTCCTCAATTCAATCTTTGCCAAAAAAGGATGCAGGGAATTCCTTATTTAGAAACTGGGCCACGTGGCTGAAGCTCCACCCGTACCATGATGTGATATCTTCACCATCTCCAAAACAGGCAGGCTCGCTGCCAAAACGGATAGGGCTACTGCAAACCTACTGATCTCTGGTAATGAAAGAGTTGGTCTGCTGCAAAAACAGGGCTGTGGAAAGTCCTTTGAAAACCCTGGCCATTAGGTCCACAAAGGGCTAAAACGAAATAAACAAAAAGTTCAGATACGAACTAGGCTCAGGCAAGTGACCTATAATAAACCTGGTCTAATATTACTAGTAAGCTGACACAAACGGAGCAACGTGTTTCCGTCCGGCTATGAAAGCACATACACATATGGTGTAATGCTGCTTTTTACAGCTAACTTGCAGCTAGTAGAAAACAAATACTTATTTGATTGGTCTCGTGGGTAATCCAAATTTTGGGAAATAATAATAAATAAAGTATTGTTTACTAGCTGTCCCTTGCCAGGCATTGCTGTGGCCCAGTAAGTTGATCTGGAAAATAAAGTAATGAGAAAGTGTTGGTTTCTAATATATGTAATTTCTTTATGCTTGTGGGTAAACAGCATTTCTTGCTGTTTCTTTGTCAGTGTTGATGTGGAGAGTGTCTGATTTGCCCACCCTGGGCAAACCAGACACTAATTGTCCATCTTTAAGGGTCCCTTTCAAATCTAGGATACTATATCTGTGTGTGTGTGTGAATCATATCTATCTATCTATCTATCTATCTATCTATCTATCTATCTATCTCTATCTATCTATCTCTATCTCTATATCTATTCCTGGATGGCTCTTTGTCAGGAGGACTTTGATTACTTTTCTTGCCCTGATGAAGGGAGTTGGATTGGATGGCCTTAAGTATTTTCTGTTGGTCATGGGAGTTCTGTGTGGGAAGTTTGCCCGATTCTGTCATTTGTGGGGTTCAGAATGCTCTTTGATTGTAGGTGAACTGTGAATCCCAGTGACTACAACTCCCAAATGTCAAGGTCTATTTCCCAAACTCCATCTGTGTTCATATTTGGGCGTATTGAGTGCTTGTGCCAAGTTTGGTCCAGATCCATCATTGTTTGAGTCCACAGTGCTCTCTGGATGTAGGTGAACTACAACTCGCAAACTCAAGGTCAATGTCCACCAAACACTTCCAGTATTTTCTGTTGGTCATGGGAGTTCTGTGCGCCATGTTTGGTTCAATTCCATCATTGATGGAGTTCAGAATAGTCCTTGATTGTAGGTGAACTATAAATCCCAGCAACTACAACTCCCAAATGACAAAATCATAATTTTTTGAGTGATGGTCACTCCTTGTGTTGTGAGATGTTTTGTTGTCAAATTTGGTGTGATTTCGTTCATTGGTTCTTTTGTTTTTAAGGTACTCATTATGCACAGCGCATTTTTATATAGATAGATAGATTGGTCCCATGGGAAATCCCAGAGTCCTAGTCCAACACTCAAACCACATCATTGGGAAATCCTAAACATGGAGTACTCTAAATGAGACATGAATTTATGTTTTTGTTTGTGCTGGCATTCCATCTCCTTCCCCTCAAAATATGAGAAGCACCACCATCATTTTTAAAGTTTATTCATCATATTTGTGTTCCGCCTTGCCTTCAGACCGCTTAAACCAGAGTAGCTGGCAAGATGGAATAGGCTTGTAGAACATATGGAGAGTTAGGGTAGGCTGAGCAAGAATAACTGTACCCAGGAAGTTTCATTACTGCGGGGGGATTTGAACCTGTGGATTGTGCTCAAGTGTCTGTCCTCTTGGCCATATTGGACTTCAGCTATGCATCGCACAGGGAAAAATACACTTCCTCTTATGAATTCCTACATAAAATCTCTTTTCTCCTCACCTACTGGGTTGAAAAACTCCGGTCTAGTGCTGTGTGAAAGCTCTGAAAAGCTCTGTGAGACTTTTATAATTGCCTTACATCATAATGATGTTCTATACATGCACTGATAGCTTTGGGAAATAGGCTGATGGATTGAGAGAGACGAATTTGACAAAGGCCCTACTGTGAGATGATGAAAGAGGCCTGCATTCAATCACAGATTTCCTGATACATAGCTCAGGCTTTGTGGGCAACAACAGACTCAGAAGATCTGTGTTCATATTTCCTGATCACTTAAATGTAGCCACCAAAGATTTGGAGATGATCAGGGGACGCGGAAACTCAACAAGGAAAGGCACAGTGTTGATGTCTCTCTGTGTTCATTGAGGTGACTAGGATACAAACTGTCAGATACAAATTACTAGAAAAATCTGATCTTAATATTGGGGGTAACTTTTAACATAAATGTTCAACAATAAGATAGACTTCCTCAGCAGGTAGGTAACTCTCCTTCTCTGGATGTCTTTAAACAGCAGTTGGGTGGACATCTTTTAGAAGTGCTGCAGTTCTGAAAGTATATGATACCCATGTGCTATACTCCTGCATGGCACACAGGTGGACTAGATGGCCTTTGTGGCATCTTCTACCTCCTATATCCTATCATTCTCTTTTCCTATACAACATTTATCCTTCTATGAACCATCTTGGAGGTTAAGATCATCCGGGGAGGTCCTTCTCTTGGTCCCATCTCCCTTGCAGGTGCGATTGATGGGGACGAGAGACAGGGCCTTCTCGGTGGTGGCTCCTCAACTATGGAACTCCCTCCCCAACGAAATTAGATTAGCGCTCTCCCTCCTGGACTTCAGAAAAAAGTAAAAACTTGGCTATGGGACCAAGCTTTTGGGCAGTAAGCAATACAAGGAATGATCAGGGATTATGTGTAATTGATATTTGGAATGGCCTGGACTATAATTTTTGGATTATGTGATTTTAATGTTTATATTAATATGTTTTTAACTCCATGTTTTAACTCCAAATGTTGTTACTTTTTTAATGATCTAATTGATAGTTATATGTCATTGTTTCTTTATGTTACAAGGTTTCATGTGTATGAAAAGCATTAAATTTTGCCATGAATAGGTTGGAAACTACTTTGAGTCCCCCCTCCCCCCCGGATGAGAAAAGTGGTATAAAAGTGAAGCAAATAAATAATAAATAAATGAAAGAGAGAACATGGAATGGTTTAAACAATGCTAATGGAAAATGAATTTAATTGGAAGACATTGATGATTATAGTTTCAATGGTTTTATATGGATCTTTATTATGCTATGTTAAATGTTTTTAATGGTATTTATGTAGGTTGTAGCATCAAATTGCTTCCAATTGTAAGCCACCTTGAGTTACCTTCGGGCTGAGAAAGACAGGATAAAAATACTGTAAATAAATAAATGAATAATAAAGGGTTTGTTTATTTACTTATTTATTTACAGTATTTATATTCCACCCTTCTCACCTTGCAGGAGACTCAGGGCGATTACAATGTACACATATATGGCAAACATTCAATGCCAAAGACACACAACAGATATAGACAGACAGTCAGAGACTATTTAACTTTTCTGGCCGCCAGGGGAGCTGTCGCTTTCATCGTCCATCTGCGATACTGATGAAGTACTTCCGCATTCCCCACATGCTTTTGCTGGAGTCTTTTTTATGGCCTCGTAAATTAGTTAAATTAGCCTCCCCACACATAGGTGGTACCTAATTTTCCTACTTGACAGATGCAAATATCTTTCGGGTTGCAAAGGTCGACAACAAGCCACACAAATGGTCGGAAGCTCACTCCGACCCAGGCTGGCTTCGAACTCATGACTTTATGGTCAGAAGTGATCTTTCAAAGCAGCGTTTCACTACAAAACATGTGTAGTATCGTGGCAGTAGTGGAATACAGGCCAACAGAATCACTGAGTTGGAAGGGACCTCAAGGGCCACCTAGTGCACAGGCCACTGCTTTGTAGGAATACACAGCTAACACACTCCTGAAAGATGTCTACAGTTTCGTCCCTGCAAGATGCCTCTCTTTCCCGTCAGTAGGAGCCAATGTCTGGGAAAGGATGTGGTGTGATCGATCAGAGACCGTCAAAAAAGAAAAAGGTTAAATGGCCTCTCCACCTTGGCGCCAGACCACTAAAATGCCACTCTCTTTCAGTGAGTGCTTTTATGTTTTAACAAACCACAGGAGCTCTAATCAAAGATCTGCATGCCATCCATCTTGGCCCAGAGCCAATGCACTACGGCAGTTCATCTAACTCCCTTTCCTTGCAGAAGGAGTCCTCATGTACTGACCCGCACCCATTTCCACCCTCCAAATGGACAAACACCCCTCTCTACAGTGTGCCAATGGGAGAGGGGACAACACGTCTCACGCCGGAGATACCAAAGATACCACTGCGAGTCCCAAAACCACTTAAGAAAACAATCCAAGCAAACCACGTACCCAGTTCCTGCAGCTGTTTCATCTGACTTGCTTTCTGAACTTTGTTAACATCCTTGCAGGCTCCTTCTGCAACTCTTCCACTTTGCCAACGTCCTTCTGATCACGAGTTGGACGCAGCAGCCGTCTTCCTTCCCCGGCCTTGGAACAGAAGGCTTCTGTGAACGCACAGACAAACAAATCAAAATCGGTGGCACAGAAACCAACTTCAGTGCTGGAAATGTACAAAGAACACAGGCATCTGAAGCTGAGCAAGATTCCCAGCCTCTCCTATTTTCCCTTCCGCAGTGGTTGCCTAAGCAGCAGCAGCAGAGCCAGTGGCTTCAGTTCACATGCTGCTCATGACATCACCAGCTATATCGGTTTGCAACAGTTCGGCGGAGCAGAGCTGGAAGAAAGCACCATGCTACAGGCGTACATGCGCCCAATGTGGTGAGAAAGAAGCAAAGAGAAATGCATTTGCTCCATGAGAAACTTCTCTAGAAGTAAAGTGATCTTCACCCTCATTATCTATTGACAATGCATGCTTGTGCTCCTTTCCCACTTCCGGACCCATCCTCCATCTCCAGCCATTCGCCTCTCCACCCACTTATGCAAGAAGCTCTCTGCTGGAGACCATTTCAAGATGGACCTCCTGTCACGATATTCCCAGAGCCCCTTCAGCATTACAGCTCTGCCTGGACTAACGTGCCAAGACTGCACTGGAAAGGTTTCTCAAGCTTGAGATACGCTCTGCAGACCAGGAAGACCATTGAGAGGCCCACTGAGATAACACTTGGGAATTGAATGAATACTCATTCTGAAAAGGAAAACAGATGCTGAATCTCAGCAGCTGAAAGAGACAGGATATCAGGGATGAGGTTGATTCAGATCAATAGGGTCATTCCCCCCCCCCCCCCAAATTAGCTTGGCCAGTCTTTAATTTTGTTATTTACGAGTGTTTATGAGAAAATACATAACAATGTGGGCGAACTACAATTTCCAGAAACATGGGTCAATCCTCCCCAAACCAGGCTTGTATGCACAGCTGGCCATGTTGGGTCTGTGTGTCTGACGTGGTCCAGATCCATCATCGGCTGGGTTTAGTGCTCCCCTGTGAATACAAAACCCATGGATGTTCAGCTTCCATTATCTATAATGGCATAGTAAAATAACTTTATATATAAAAAGGGAAAATCAAAGTTTACTCTTTTTTGGATTTTTAAAAAATATTTTCAGGCTATTGCCAAAGGCTTTCATAGCTGGAATCAGTGTTGTGAGTTTTCCAGGCTGTGTGGCCATGTTCCAGAAGCGTTCTCTCCTGATGTTTCGCCTGCATCTATGTTAGGGATTCCTCATCTTCAGAAGAGGAAGGGGAGCAGGGAAGTGTTCAAGAATTGGAGGGCGGAGAGGGATCAAACAATGAGGTTTTGCAAGTGCCCTCATTTCTGGAGAGGCAAAAAGAAACAGAGCACAGACGGTGTTCCGCTAGAATAGCTGCTAGAAACGCCGAGGTAATTGGGAGTTGCCCTAGCACATCCTGCATGGGGAATTCAGGGCTATAAACCAGTAGCAGGAGCAGTTAGTTTTCGCTGGAAACAATAATCCTGATGCTCTAATTGTACCTGCTTCGAGTCTGCTTCTAAAGATTTAGTGATCCTTCCCCGTTTTCTGATGCAAGACTGCTGTTTATTTTGGACTTATCAGAAACTTTCTGAAGGTTGGCTCTGCATCTTGTGGTGCCAGAACGGAGTCTGTTCAGCGCCTTCCAAGTCGCCCAGTCCTCTGTGTGCCCACCTCTGTGTGCCCAGGGGGGAGTTTCTCATTTGGTATCAGCCATTGGTTGAGGTTCTGGGTTTGAGCCTGCCACTTTTGGACTCTCGCTAGCTGAGGTGTTCCAGCGAGTGTCTCTGTAGATCTTAGAAAACTATGTCTGGATTTAAGTTGTTGATGTGCTGGCTGATACCCAAACAAGGGATGAGCTGGATGGGGCTACAAAGTGGAATCCTCAACATGCAAGTGCGGAGAGGAGCAAACCACTGACCTGCTGCAATGCAACCTGAGCCCAGCCACATGCACAATGGAGGAGCTTCTTGCAGCAACACCAGAAGAACTCCAAGTGGCCAGATACTGGTCAAAGGACATTTAATCAACTACCAAACTCACACATTTTGTATTTTCTCTGTTTCTTTGCTTCGTTCTGTTAGAAATGTAATATAATTGACTGGCGGCCCTGACACGAGAAATAAATCAGAAACTTGGGTTTTGTGTCTGTATTAAGACTTCCTTGCTTCCTTTTGCATTTTTTCAACTGCATGTGCTGTTCTTTTCTGTTTGCTGAAGGAAAGCATTTTTCATTTACTTTCAACGTGGTATTAAGGCTGTTCTTGAAAGGCAAGTCAGGACAGTCTATGAGGAATGTCCAGGGTGGGAGAAAGAACTCTTGTCTGTTTGAGGTGCGTGTTAATGTTGCAACTGGCCACCTTGGTTAGCATTGACCTTCAAACTGCAAGGCCATTCAATGCTAATAAAGGTGGCCAATTGCAACATTCACAGGAAACAATCGGGGCCAGCTAATACCTCCCAACAAAGGATTCCCCATCAGGAAGCAGCCAGGCTTTGAAGATGCAAGGCCATACAACACCTTGAGTCTCTGGGGTGAAAAGGGCAGGGCAGAAATGTCACAAATAAATAAATAAACAACCAAGGTGGCCAACTGCAACATTCACACTTGCCTCAAGCAGACAAGAGTTCTTTCTCCCACCCTGGATATTCCACAGATATATAAAACCCACTTGCCTAGTTTCCAACAGTCCTCACAACCTCTGAGGATGCCTGCCATAGAAAGATCAGGAGAGAATGCTTCTGGAACATGGTCATACAGCCCAGAAAACTCACAGCAACGAAAAACAAATGTGGTTTGGCGCCTCTTTAACTGCCATGGCTCAATATTATGGAACCTTGGGAACTGTAGTTTGGTGACGCACCAGCTCTGTTTGGTAGAAAGGGATGAAGTGCTTGCGAAACTACAACTCCCGTGATTCCATAGCTTTGAGCCATGGCAGTTCAAGCTCTGGTTACATCCCAAATAGACTACTGTAATGCGCTCTATGTGGGGCTGCCTTTGAAGACTATTTGGAAGCTACAAATGGTCCAAGCGGTGGCAGCCAGATTGCTTACCGAAGTGGCGTACAGGGAGCATACAAACCCCCTGTTATATCAGCTCCCTCGCAGGTGCGATTGGCAGAGACAAGAGACAGGGCCTCCTCAGTGGTGGCCCTTTGACGGGAGATAGACTTGGAACAATGTGCAATGACCATTGGAACGGCCCTGATTACACTCGTGGACTCTGTGTTTAACTATGAACGTATTGTTTTTAAATGTTTTTAATTGTTTTAGGTAAAGGTAAAGGTTTTCCCCAGACATTAAGTCCAGTCGTGTCCGACTTTGGGGGTTGGTGCTCAACTCCATTTCTAAGCCGAAGAGCCGGCATTGTCCATAGACACCTCCAAGATCATGTGAACGGCATAACTGCATGGAGCGTTGTTACCTTCCCCCTGTAGCGGTACCTACTGATCTACTCACCTTTGCATGTTTTTGAACTGCTACATTGGCAGAAACTGGGGCTAACTGCGGGAGATCATGCTGCTCCCCAGATTCGAACCTGCAACCTTTACGGTTTGCTTTAACCGACTGTGCCAAATTGTTTTAATACATTTTTGAATTCGGTTTTAATATTTATTCAAGTGTATATTGTATTTTAGGGCATCGAATTGTTGCCTGTATGTAAAGCCGCCTTGAGAAAGGCAGGGGTAGAAATGTGGTAAATAAAGAAATAATAAATAAGTGAGCCAACAATGTGATGCGGCGGCAAAAAGAGCCAATGGGATTTTGGCCTGTATCAATAGGAGTATAGCGTCCAGATCCAGGAAAGTCATGCTACCCCTCTATTCTGCCTTGGTTACATCATACCTGGAATACTGTGCCCAATTCTGGGCACCACAATTCAAGAGAGATATTGACAAGCTAGAATGTGTCCAGAGGAGGGTGACTCAAATGATCAAGGGTCTGGAGAACAAGCCCTATGAGGAGTGGCTTAAAGAGCTGGCCATGTTTAGCCTGCGGAAGAGAAGGCTGAGAGGAGATATGATAGCCATGTATAAGTATGTGAGAGGAAGTCATAGGGAAGAGGGAGCAAGCTTGTTTTCTGCTGCGGTGGAGACTATTTTATTATATATTTACTGTATTTGTATACTGCCTTTCTCAGCCAATTGGCGACTCAAGGTGGTTTCCAAAAAATCAGTATACATAAAACATAGTATAGATAAAAAAACATTAAACAGTATAAGACATCACAAAAGCAATAAAAGCATCATCATCAGTGTCTCATTATTCTCAAGTATTGTCCAATTCCATTGTCAGGTCATTTGATTTCCTATATTAGCTACTCTGTATTTGTAAACGCTTGCTCAAATAGCCACGTTTTAACTTGCCTCCGAAACGTCAAGAGGGAGGGAGCAGATCTGATCTCCCTAGGGAGGACGTTCCATAGCCAAGGGGCCACCACTGACAAGGTCCTGTCTCTCGTCCCCACCAAACATGCTTGTGACAAAGGGGGGACTGAGAGCAGGACCTCCCCAGATGGTCTTAAAGTCCTCAGAAGAATCGAACAATGGAACAATGGCTTCAAACTACAAGAAAGGAGATTCCACCTGAACATGAGGAAGAACTTCCTGACTGTAAGAGCTGTTGAGCAGTGGAACTCTCTGCCCCGGAATGTGGTGGAGGCTCCTTCTTTGGAAGCTTTTAAACGGAGGGCCATCTGTTGGGAGTGCTTTGAATGCAATTTTCCTGCTTCTTGGCAGGGGGTTGGACTGGATGGCCCATGAGGTCTCTTCCAACTCTTTGATTCTATGAATCCCACAAAAAAAATACATTTCTATTTATATAGATTATTATTATTATTATTAAATTGTTGTTGTTGTTGTTCTTCTTCTTCTTCTTCCTCCTCCTCCTCCTCTTCTTTCTTCTTCTTCTTCTTTTATCCTAACTGCATTACTTTGGCCTCATGGCCGTTCCAAGTGGTGCCAAACTGCATTACTTTTGTATTGTCGAAGGCTTTCATGGCTGGAATCACTAGGTTCTTGTGGGTTTTTTCGGGCTATAGAGCCATGTTCTAGAGGCATTTCTCCTGACGTTTCGCCTGCATCTATGGCAAGCATCCTCAGAGGTAGTGAGGTCTGTTGGAATTAGGACAATGGGTTTATATATCTGTGGAATGGCTGGGGTGGGGCAAAGAGCTTTTCTGTGCTGGAGCTAGGTGTGAATGTTTCAACTGACCACCTTCATTACCATTTGAAGGCCTGCCTGAGCCTGGGAAAATCCCCTGTTGAGAGGTGTTAATCTGTGCCTGGTTGTTTCCTCTCTGTTGTTTTGCTGTTGTAATTTTAGAGTTTTTTAATACTGGTAGCCAGATTTTGTTCATTTTCATGGTTTCCTCCTTTCTGTTGAAATTGTCCACATGCTTGTGGATTTCAATGGCTTCTCTGTGTAGTCTGACATGGTGGTTGTGAGAGTGGTCCAGCATTTGTGTTCTCAAATAAAATGCTGTGTCCAGGCTGGTTCATCAGGTGCTCTGCTATGGCTGACTTCTCTGGTTGAAGTAGTCTGCAGTGCCTTTCATGTTCCTTGATTCGTGTTGGGCGCTGCGTTTGGTGGTCCCTATGTAGACTTGTCCACAGCTGCATGGTATACGGTAGACTCCTGCAGAGGTGAGAGGATCCCTCTTGTCCTTTGCTGAACGTAGCATTTGTTGGATTTTCTTGGTGGGTTTGTAGATTGTTTGTATGCTGTGTTTCCTCATCAGCTTCCCTATCTACAAACCCAAGAAAATCCAACAAATGCTATGTTCAGCAAAGGACAAGAGGGATCCTCTCACCTCTGCAGGAGTCTACCGTATACCATGCAGCTTAACACCTCTCAACATAACATTTTCCCAGGCTCAGCCAGGCCTTCAAATGCTAATGAATGAACCAGCCTGGACACAGCATATTATTTGAGAACACAGAAATGCTGGACCACACCAACAACCACCATGTCAGACTACACAGAGAAGCCATTGAAATCCACAAGCATGTGGACAATTTCAACAGAAAGGAAGAGACCATGAAAATGAACAAAATCTGGTTAGCAGTATTAAAAAACTCAAAAATTATAACAGCTAAACAACAGAGAGGAAAAAACCAGGCACAGATTAACACCTCCCAGCAACAGATTTTCCCAGAGTCAGGCAGGCCTTCAAATGCTAATGAAGGTGATCAGCTAAACATTCACACCTAACTGCAGCAGGGAAGAGCTCCTTGCCCCACCCCAGCCATTCCACAGATATATAAGCCCATTTTTCCTACTTCCAACAGACCTTCTCAACCTCTGAGGATGCTTGCCATAGATGCAGGCGAAACGTCAGGAGAAATGCCTCTAGAACATGGCTCTATAGCCCGAAAAAACCCACAAGAACCTAGCTAATGAAGGTGATCAGTTGAAACATTCACACCTAGCTCTAGCAGAGAAGAGCTCTTGGCCCCACCCCAGCCATTCCACAGATATATAAACCCATTGTCCTAATTTCCAACAGACCTCACTACCTCTGAGGATGCTTGCCATAGATGCAGGCGAAACGTCAGGAGAAAATGCCTCTAGAACATGGCCATATAGCCCGGAAAAACCCACAAGAACCTTGCATTACTTTGGCTCCCAACTTTTGTGCTTGCAATGCCCTTTCTGGCCTCCAGGGTGCGCTCCCCCGCTCTGCTCTGCCTGCCTGCCTTCTCCCGCAAGCCAAGGCCGATGGCGGCGACCGCATGGCTTCCAAGGGAGAAGGGGAGAGGAGAAGCCAGGCGGAGGGTGGCCCTCCCCGATAGCCGTGCCCTCCCTTCGCATGCCCCTTCCGCCTTGGCTCCGTGGAGGGGACTGACAGCCAAGGCCTTGCCTCCCCGCCATGGAGCCAACACTGCTTACGCCGCCATCGAAGCCAAGACACATTCGCAATTGCAAAATCTATGCACTGCTTGGGTTCATGGGAATTGTCGGCCTTGCCAAGCTACCCAAAGCAGTTAGGAGAGTCACCAAACTGCATTAATTCTGCACCCTTGGCAGAAAAGTCAAAAAGCAAAACATAAAGGGGGGAAATGGGACCTTAGCTTTGGCTGCTCAGTGCTCCCTCCACACCCTTTGGATCCTCCTCCTCTTTCTCTTCCCAAGGACTTACCCCTCTTGGGGATCCCCGGGCTCTCTCCTCCTGCTCTTCCTGGCTTTGCAGCGGCGGCAGCAACAAAGGACTTCCGCCTCTTCCTCCTCCTCCTCTTGCTGCTGCTGCTGCTCCTTCTCCGGCCGCAGAAGCAGCCTGGACCCCTCCCTCTCCCCTCTGTCCCTGCAGAGCCAAATGCCCAAACTGCCTCGGCCCATCTTGGCTCACCGCCGGCTCGGGAAGGGAAGGAAGGAGGGGGGGGGGGGAGGGACTTGGCATGCCTCCAGGCACGTTACCCGGCCAGCTCCTTGCAAACGAGATGGCTACTTTCAGTATCTGGATTGAACCAGGAGGTGGGCATGCCAAAGCGTCAGGGAAGATGCCATGCAGTGTTTAGATAGCCCACACTGTGTTGCTTCATCTCTACCAGAAATGGGCCAACTTGGGCCCTCCAGGTTTTTGGACTTCAACTTCCAAAGGCAAAACTACAGTGAGGTGGATCTGGAATTGGTTAAATGGACAAACCCAGAGGGTGCTCACCAATGCTTCCTCTTCATCCTGGAAGATGAAGATCTTGGAGTCCTCGTGGACAACAAGTTAAACATGAGCCAACAATGTGATGTGGCGGCAAAAAAAGCCAATGGGATTTTGGCCTGCATCAATAGGAGCATAGTGTCTAGATCTAGGGAAGTCATGCTGCCCCTCTATTCTGCTTTGGTTAGACCACACCTGGAATATTGTGTCCAATTCTGGGCACCACAATTCAAGAGAGATATTGACAAGCTGGAATGTGTCCAGAGGAGGGCGACTAAAATGATCAAGGCTCTGGAGAACAAGCCCTATGAGGAGCGGCTTAAGGAGCTGGGCATGTTTAGCCTGAAGAAGAGAAGGCTGAGAGGAGATATGATAGCCATGTATAAATATGTGAGAGGAAGCCACAGGGAGGAGGGAGCAAGCTTGTTTTCTGCTTCCCTGGAGACTAGGACGCAGAACAATGGCTTCAAACTACAAGAGAGGAGATTCCATCTGAACATGAGGAAGAACTTCCTGACTGTGAGAGCCATTCAGCAGTGGAACTCTCTGCCCCAGAGTGTGGAGGAGGCTCCTTCTTTGGAAGCTTTTAAACAGGGGCTGGATGGCCATCTGCAGGGGTGATTTGAATGCAATATTCCTGCTTCTTGGCAGAATGGGGTTGGACTAGATGGCCCATGAGGTCTCTTCCAACTCTTTGATTCTTTGATTCTCTGATTCCACTTCTCCTAACACCTGGAGCAGTCCCGTAGCTAGGATTTTGATGGGAGGGTGAGTTTGAGAGAGGATCTACCCTAGCAAACCTTTTGCATCGTTATCCCAATACCCCCATGCATATGGGATATATTGAGCATGGTGATCAGATCATGATATGAATAAACATAACAGTTTAAATAATAAATGTTATTTATTTATTTACTTTCATTAACAAAATATTTAGAATACTTTTAAAGAACTGTTAAATAAGAATAAATAGGACATTGAACCAAGCCAACGCTGGATCTGGACCAAACATGTCACATAGAGCCAATGTGCCCAACAGTGCATACAGGCAGGGATTGTTGTTATTATTGTTATTATTAACTTTATTTGTACCCTGCTAACATCTCCCGAAGGACTCAGTGCAGCTTACAAAGGCCAAGGCCTCAATAAAAACAACAGCATAACAAATACAACAATAAAACTCATAAAGCAAACCAATAAACATTAAAGCAATAACAGTAAAACATCAAAACAATACATCATGACACATTTAAAACTAGAGCCGGGCCAAATGTAATGAATAAATTAAAAGTGCTGGACATGACAGGTGAAATGTAAGGATTTTAGGGTAGGTGCGATGTGCAGGCAGTCTTAAATCTCTGGTAAAGTGCGTTTGGGACATGATGCTGGGAGTTTCCTATTCTGGAAAGGCACACTGGAACAGCCAGGTTTTCAAGCTCTTCTTAAAGACTGCCAATGTTGGGGCTTGTCTGATGTCCTGCATGCCTCCCCCTTCCCATATAAAACTCTGTATATGCCCCATGTACCCATTCATTATATGTATATGTATGTCTATATAAAATACGAAGCAAGAGAACTCTTCCATTAACTTTGCCAGCAACTCAGGGCTCAGGAATATCCAAACTTCCTGAGCCGATAATCCCCTTAACAAAGGTCTTGACAGCACCCATTTGCACGGACAATAAGTAAATGGCCCCATTTCATGGACTTCGGAGTGCATTGATGGCCAGAACAATCAGGACAATGGAACTTATGGCCATATGGAATCACCCAACACTCCCCAGACTGAAGAACCAGGGATGTGCCACTGCCTCCCCACTGTGCCATTTCCCAATCTCCGAAAAGGTGTTTCAACTCCCATCATCAAGTAAATATCACAGGACTATAGAACAATGGAACTGGCTCTTGGGGGCCAAACACGAGTACTCCAAAATCTTTTCTGCACATACTACTCTCAGCCATTCTGTATCTTTGCGTTTAATTTTTTTTTCTGCCTGAGTAGAGTATGTTGTTTTTGTCCCTGTTAAACTTCATTTTGTTAGTTTTGGCCAATCATCTCTCTAATCTGTTAAGATTGTTTTGAATTCTGCTCCTGTCTCCTGGAGTATTAGCTATCCCTCCCAATTCAGTGTCACCTGAAAACCTGATGCCTTCTAACCCTTCATCCAAGTCATTAATAAAGATGTGAACAGGACTGGGCCCAGGACAGAACTCTGCGGCACCCCACTTGTCACTTTTTTCCAGGATGAAGAGGAAGCATTGGGGAGAATCACCTTTTGGGTTTGTTCACTTCACCAATTACAGATCCACCTAACTGTAGTTTTGCCTAGCCCACACTTGTCTAATTTGTTTGCCGGAAGGTCATGGGGGACCTTGTCAAAGGCCTTCCTGAAATCCAGGCACGCTACATCCACGGCATTCCCTGCATCTACCCAGCTTGTAACTATTGAAAAAAGAGATCAGATTAGTCTGGCATGACTTGTTTTTGATAAATCCATGTTGACTATTAGCGATGACTACATTTGTTTCTAAGTGTTTGCAGACCACTTCCTTGACAATCTTTTCCAGAATCTTGCCTGGTATCAACGTGAGGCTGACCGGACGGTAATTGTTTGGGTCATCCTTTTTTCCTTTCTTGAAGACTGGGACCACATTGGCCCTCCTCCAATCTGCTGGGACTTCTCCCCTTCTCCAAGAATTCTCAAAGATGATTGCCAGTGGTTCCTAAATGCCTTCCGCTATAGTTCCTTCAATACTCTTGGATGTAGTTGATCTGGCCCTGGGGACTTGAATTCATTTAGAGTGGCCAGGTATTCCTGAACGACTTGTTTCCTTATTTGGGGTTGAATTTCTCCTGCTCTTTCATCCACTCCATGTTACTGGGGTTGAGGACAGCTTTCTTTTTATGAGAAGACTGAGGCAAAAAGACATTAAATAGTTCTGCCTTTTCCCTATCCCCTGTCAGCATTATACAGTCAGCCCTCTGCATTCGCTGACACAAAGCCCTGAGATGGTCAGTGAGAAAATTCAATCAAATACACAAAATCTAGAACACCCTTTTTATATCCCAACAACAACTCTATGAGATAGTGTGACTTACAGAGTTCAGTTAGTGAAAGATCATTCAGTGTAGACTTAGATTTCCCAGATTCCAGACAAATACTTCAATCAGTTCAACACAGTGATGTTTTATTGCAAATGTCTGAATCCCATTCATTTGGCCTCTAATCCAAATTATCGGATCAGATAATACAAATTATCTGCTCTGAACTGGATTATATGAATCTAAAGGTAAAGGTTTCCCCTGACATTAAGTCTAGTCATGTCCGACTCGGAGGGTGATGCTCATCTCCATTTGGTTTTTTTCTTTTTTTAAAAAAAAATATTCAAATAGGCATACATTTGTAAGTGTTTGTTGTGCAGAATGCAATACTTTCCAGCTATTAGTGTTCCATAATCATTTCTCAGATAATGTATTTCCTTTAAAGGATCAGTCTTCTATTTCAATCTATATAAATAAAAATGTAATGTTCGTTTGTGCTATTCACAGAACTCAAAAACCACTGGGGCAATTGGCACCAAATTTGGGCACGATACACCTAACAACCCAATGTATGTCCTTCACTCAAAAAAATTGATTTTGTCATTTGGGAGTTGTAGTTGCTGTGAGTTATAGTTCACCTACGATCAAGGAGCATTCTGAACCCCACCAACGATGGAATTGAACCAAACTTGGCACACAGTTCTCCCATGGCCAACAGAAAATACTGGAAGGGTTTGGTGGGCAGTGTCCTTTGGTTTTGGAGTTGTAGTTCACCTACATCCAGAAATCACTGTGGACTCCAACAATGATGGATCTGGACCAAACTCTACATGAATACCCAATATGCCCAAATGTGAACACTGGTGGAATTTGGGGAAAATAGAATCTTGACATTTGGGAGTTGTAGTTGCTGGGATGTGTAGTTCACCTACAATTACAGAGCATTCTGAACCCCACCAACGATAGAATTGGGCCAAGCCTCTCACCTCAAACTCCCATGTGGGCCACAGCAACATGTGGCAGGGGACGGCTAGTAGTGCATATAAAGGTATTATAGACTCTTAACATCTGCTTCGTCCTTGTCTAGTCATATAGGATCCTCTAGTTACATTTTTAGTTTAATTTTACATTGAGATTTTGAGTAATTGGTTGCCATTTGTTAACAAAGTTGTCTAATAGTTCTCCTCTTAATAATACAGTTATTTTACTGGGTTGTTGTAGGTTTTATTTTATCTGTAATATATTTTTCCCATTCTTCTAAAGGGGATTTCTGGGGATTTCCATTATTGTATGTACTATTCTAGCTGCCACTGTCATGTAAAACAAACTGACCGAATGTATCTCCCTCTATGTCCCACCTCAGAGTTTAAGATCTTCTGGGAGGCCCTACTTTCGACCCCACCTCTGTTGCAAACATGCTTGGCGGGGACGAGGGACTGGGCCTTCTCGGTGGTGGCATCCCACCTGTGGAATTCGCTCCTTCTGCTGGTCACAGAATTTTGTTACTAGATAAGGCTAACCAGCCAGTATTATTTTATGGATCTAATTTTAACTAATTTAATGTTTTTTTCAATTTACGTGTAATTATTGTATTTTTTTGTCATGTCAGGAGTGACTTGAGAAACTGTAAGTCAATCCTGATGTGAGAGAATTGGCCATCTGCAAGGACATTGCCCAGGGGACGCCCGGATGATTTGATGTTTTATCATCCTTGTGGGAGGCTTCTCTCATGTCCCCGCATGAGGAGCTGGAGTTGGTAGAAGGAGCTCATCTGCCTCTCCTCGGATTCGAACTTGCGACCTGTCGGTCTTCAGTCCTGCTGGCACAGGAGTTTAACCCACTGCGCTGCCGGGGGCTCCATTATTGTATTTATTATGTTGTATGAGGGGGCTTCGAATTGTTGCCTGCTGTAATCCGCCCTGAGTCCCGCTGAGGGGGTTGAGAAGGCCGGGGTACAAATAATTGAAATAAATAAATAAAATATCTCTTTTGAACTGTGATGCCCAGAATTGGACACAGCATTTCAGGTGAGGTCTAACCAAAGCAGAAAAGAGAGGCACCCTGACTTCCCTTAATCTAGACCAGGCTTGTGTTTTGGACTCCAACTCCCACCATTCCCAACAGCCTCAGGCCCAGGTGTGTTGGAGTCCAAAACACCTGGAGGGCCCAAGTTTGCCCAGGCCTGGCTGTAGAAAAGGAAGGGGCCTGAGGCTGTTGGGAATGGTGGGAGTTGGAGTCCAAAACACCTGGAGGGCCCGAGTTTGCCCAGGCCTGGCTGTAGAAAAGGAAGGGGCCTGAGGCTGTTGGGAATGGTGGGAGTTGGAGTCCAAAACACCTGGAGGGCCCAAGTTTGCCCAGGCCTGGCTGTAGAAAAGGAAGGGGCCTGAGGCTGTTGGGAATGGTGGGAGTTGGAGTCCAAAACACCTGGAGGGCCCGAGTTTGCCCAGGCCTGGCTGTAGAAAAGGAAGGGGCCTGAGGCTGTTGGGAATGGTGGGAGTTGGAGTCCAAAACACCTGGAGGGCCCAAGTTTGCTCAGGTCTGGCTGCAGAATAATAGACGCAGGCACACTTAAGAGTTTAGAAAACCCCTTCTGAAACCTTGCCAAGAAACCCGGAAGACAAGAACAACAACAATCACTAGAAGGCGCGCCAAGCAGCCAATCCGAGTAAGGCATTTTCCCCAGTGACGTCAGAGCTCCGCCCTCTCTGCTGTGCGGGTCAGCGCGCGCGCACAGGGGAGGCAGCAGGAGCGCGCGCCGGCCTCCTTGCATTGCTGCTGCTGCTGCTGTTGTGTCTGCAAAACCTTCCCATTTCCACGTCTCTCGGTCAGGTAAGGCTTTCTTCTAGCAAAAAAAAGGTAGGGGGTGGCCTCGAAGGAGGAGGGAAGGGAAGAGGAGGAGAAGGGGAGCGCACCCATTCATAGAAGCCCAGGATCCTAGCGTTGGAAGAAACCCCCCCAAGGCTCATCCAATCCCACCCTATTCTACTCAAACAAGAAAACACCACCCAAGCCCTCCCGACAGATGGCCATTCAGCCTTCTGCTTGAAAACCTCCAGAGAAGGAGACTCCACCACATTATGGAGGAAGTCGCCCGTTCCACTGCTGCACCATATGAATATTTAGTTGCCATTTGAATCCATTGCTTCATTGTGTCATCGAATCCTAGAGTTGGAAGAGACCTCATGGGCCATCCAGTCCAACCTGCCAAGAAGCAGGAAAATTGCATTCAAAGCACCCCTGACAGATGGCCATCCAGCCTCTGTTTAAAAGCTTCCAAAGAAGGAGCCTCCACCACCCTTATATAAAAGAGATATCCAGACCAACCCCCTGCCAAGAAGCAGGAATATCACATTCAAAGCACCACTGACAGATGGCCATCCAGCCTCTGCTTAAAAGCCTCCAAAGAAGGAGCCTCCACCACCCTCCAGGGCAAGAGTTTCACTGCTGAACAGCTCTCACAGTCATAGAATCCTAGAGTTGGAAGAGACCTCATGGGCCATCCAGTCCAACCTCCTGCCAAGAAGCAGGAAAATTGCATTCAAAGCACTCCTGACAGATGGTCATCCAGCCTCTGTTTAAAAACTTCCAAAAGAGGAGCCTCTACCACACTGCGGGCAGAGAGTTCCACTGCTGAACAGTTCTCACAGTCAGGAAGTTCTTCCTCATGTTCAAATGGAATCTCCTTTCCTGTAGTTTGAAGACATTGTTCCGCATCCTAGTCTCCAGGGAAGCAGAAAACAAGCTTGCTCCTCCTCCCTGTGGCTTCCTCTCACATATTTATACATGGCTATCATATCTCCTCTCAGCCTTCTCTTCTTCAGGCTAAACATGCCCAGCTCCTTAAGCCGCTCCTCATCGCGCTTGTTCTCCAGTCTCTTCAGTTGTGGTGCCCAGAATTGGACACAGTATTCCAGGTGTGGTCTAACCAAGCAGAATAGAGGGGTAGCATTACTTCCCTAGATCTAGACACTATGCTCCTATTGATGCAGGCCAAAATCCCATTGGCTTTTTTTGCTGCCACATCACATTGTTGGCTCATGTTTAACTTGTTGTCCACAAGGACTCCAAGATCTTTTTCACACGTACTGCTCTCGAGCCAGGCATCCCCCATTCTATATCTTTGCATTTCCTTTTTCCTGCCAAAGTGGAGTATTTTGCATTTGTCTTCCTCATGTTCAGATGGAATATCCTTTCCTGTAGTTTGAAGCCATTGTTCCATTGCATCCTAGTCTCCAGGGCAGCAGAAAACAAGCTTGCTCCCTCCTCCCTATGACTTCTCCACACATATTTATACATGGCCCTCATCTTGTCTCCTCTCAGCCTTCTGTACTGCATGGTAAACATGCCCAGCACTTTAAGCTGCTCCTCATAGGGCTTGTTCTCCAAACCATTGATCATTTTAGTTGCCCTCATCTGGACACATTCATTTATTTATTTCATACACTTTTACCCCCCCCCCCTTCTCTCCCCAAAAGGGGGGGGGGTCATGACAGCCTCATATAAGCACTGTACGATGCTATCATCATATAAATAGTCAGCAAATACATTAAAATATTAAAAACAATCCATTAAAACAGTAGCTTAGTCACGCCAGTTGAAAGCAAATCCAAGCCTGGAGTTAAATCAATGTCGTGGTATCCAAGTCTTCTTTCCAATTGCCACTTCTTTCCAATTGCCACTTGGTCTTCAATTTTCTTCTAAAGGACAATTTCTTCTGATGTCCCTGAGGAGAGTGTTCCACAGACGGGGGGCCACTGCCGAGAAGGCTCTGTCACTCGTCCCCACCAACCGCATTAGTGATGGTGGTGAGATCGAGAGCAGGGCCTCTCCTGAAGATCTTAAACTTCATGAAGGTTCATAACAGGAGATATGTTCAGACAGGTAGTCTGGGCCAGAACCATTTAGGCCTTTAAAGGTTAAAACCAGCACTTTGAATTGTGCTCGGAAGCTGATTGGAGCTGGAGTAACAGAGGAGTTGTATGCTCTCTGTATGCCGCTCCAGTGAGCAACCTGGCTGCCAACCGTTGGACTAGTTGAAGCTTCTGGGCAGTCTTCAAAGGCAGTCCCACATAGAGTGCGTTGCAGTAGTCTATTCGGGATGTATAGACTACATTCCAGCTTGTCAACATCTCCCTTCGATTGGGGTGTCCAGAATTGGACACAATGTGTCCTGGATCTAGGGGTCTTTCCTGGATTTAGGGGTCCTCAAACTAAGGTCCAAGAGCCAGATACAGCCCTCCAAGGTCATTTCCTCAGCCATCGCTCAGAATCAACCTAAGTCTGAAACAACCTGAAATCGCACAACAACAACCATCAGCCTAAAGCAGGCTCACACTTTCCATATGCAAGTGGGGTTTATATATCTGTGGAATATCCAGAACTCTTGTCTGCTTGAGGATAGTGTGAATGTTGCAATTTGACACCTTGATTAGCATTCAATGGCCTTGCAGTTTCAAAGCCTGGCTTGTCACATTTGCCTCAAGCAGACAAGAATTCTTTCTCCCACCCTGGACATCCCACAGATACATAAACCTCACTTGCCTAGTTTCCAACAGATCTCGCAACCTCTGAGGATGTCTTCCATAGATGTGGGCAAAACATCAGGAGAGAATGCTTCTGGAACATGGCTGGACAGCCTGGAAAACTCACAGCAACCTAGTGATTCCAGCCATGAAAGCCTATGACAACACACTAAAAACGTTGGGAGTGGGCGCATCAACACTGTTGAATTGATGCAGTTTGACACTGCTTCGATCGCCATGACTCAAGGTTATGGAGCCCTTGGAATTATAGTTTTACAAAGTCTTTATCCTTTTCTGCCAAAGAGTGCTGATACATCCTACAAATCCCATGATTTTTCAGCATTCAGCCATGGCAGTTAAAGTGTTGTATTTATTAATATTAATTAATAATTCTACATTGTACATAGATACACCATCAGAATTCATTTTGTATTTGGAGGGAATGTTTCCCTAGGGGTTAGACTTGGATTATGTGTAGCCTGAAATGATGCAATACAGATACAAATTCATCACTACAGGGACAATATGTCTGTACATAATGCTGTATATTTCCCAAATAGTGCAAGAAGATGTCACATTCCTCTGGCAGAGATTGGACTTTGGGCCTATGTGCAAAATATGTCCTCTTAGCACTGATATGCTGTGCCCTTTCTTTACTATCCAGAATGACGCTGGAATTGGCATTGCTTAAAAGAGATCTTGTTTTGTCTCCTAGAAAGCACAATGGATACAGCCAGCCACAGCCTGATCCTGCTCCAGCAGCTCAACATGCAACGGGAGTTTGGCTTCCTCTGCGACTGCACGGTTGCAATTGGAGATGTGTACTTCAAAGCCCACCGAGCTGTCTTGGCAGCCTTTTCAAACTATTTTAAGATGATATTTATTCATCAGACAAGGTAAAGCTATGCTGGTCTTTGAGGAACAAGTAAGGCCCCTTCCACATAGCCATATAACAAAATCTCCCTGAGTCTTTAATAGGAAATATACTTCCTAATGAGCGTGGGTTGTTGGAAGCCCTAAAATGTGTAGCGAACATTTGAAAACACCCCATAGTGTCACAAGAAACATGCATGAATTCCAGACCTTGTGTAGTTGCCCACATCTATATGCCTTATGAGGTTTCTTTTCTTTGTTGTATCAGGAGCAACTTGAGAAACTGCAAGTTGCTTCTGGTGTGAGAAAATTAGCCATCTACAAGTATGTTGCCCAGATACTTTGATGTTTTTACCATCCTTGTGGGAGGCTTCTCTCATGTCCCCACATGGCGAGCTGGAGCTGATAGAGGGAACTCATCCGCGCTCTCCCCAGAGTCAATACTCCGACCTGTCAGTCTTCAGTCCTGCCATCACAGGGGTTTAACCCACTGCACCACTGGGGGCTCTGACATGCCTTATGAGTGCGAATGATATACAAATATTATGAGTGAAAGTGTGAATAATGTGTGTTGCAAACACATTTGCATATTTTCGAACTGCTAGGTTGGCAGAAGCTGGGCCTAACAGCGGGAGCTCCCCCTGCCCTCCAGATTCGAACTGCCAAGGCTTTCAGTCAGCTATTTCAGCAGCTCAGCTGTTTAATCCACTGTGCCACCAGTATTAGGAAATCAAAATACTCCAAAGTCTGAAATTGCCTGCATGGATAGCTGAGATAGTTAGTGACACCTTAGTTTCATGTACAAATTTTTAAAAAATATTCAGTTTATATATCTAAGGTGTGTAAGAAATATAAATTAATGTTGTGTGTGGCCTTAGAGCTAATCTCCAAAATATCTTAATATGTATGGATATTCCAAAATCCAAAAAATTTCAGATAAGGGATATTCAACCTGTATAGCTATCATCTAAAGCAGGCACCCTCAAATTATGGCCAGCTGTTTGGGCCTCCAACTCCCAGAATTCCTGACCATTGGACAAGCTGGTAATAGGGACTTCTGGGAGTTGGAGGTCCAAACAGCTGGAGGGCCACAGGTTGAGGATGTCTGCGTTAAATCTACTAAATCTGATGCGACCACAAAGCTTCATCTGTAATGAAAAGGGCTTAGGACTCTCAGTTTTTTAGATCTGGGCTTCTTAAACCTTTCCATTTGTGACCCCTTTGGCTTGATAAATGATTACGTTATATAAAATAGGTATAAAAATCAAGCATTTACTGATAACAAATCAGCATTTGCAAGGCTTGCCAAAGAGGCTGATTTTCTTTTTTATGAAGTTCAGATGAAGCGTCTTCTGCAGAATCTATTGTAAACACTACACACCAAATTCATGCAAATGTCTAAAAACAGCCACTAAGTGACATTCTGAAAATGTTTATTGTTGCCAAATTATTCATGACCCCAACATGGAGATAAGGGGACCCCATTTGGGGCCAGGACCCACAGCTTAAGAAACAGTGGTTTAATAATAATAATAATAATAATAATAATAATAATAGCTTTATTTTTGTATCACACCTCCATCTGCCCGAAGGGACTCAGGGCAGCTTACATGGGGGCAAGCCCAATCATAGAATCAAAGAGCTTGAAGAGACCTCCTGGGCCATCCAGTCCAACCCCCTGCCAAGAAGCAGGAATATTGCATTCAAATCACCCCTGATAGATGGCCATCCAGCCTCTGTTCCTAAAGAAGGAGCCTCCACCACACTCCGGGGCAGAGAGTTCCACTGCTGAACGGCTCTCACAGTCAGGAAGTTCTTCCTATGTTCAGATGGAATCTCCTTTCTTGTAGTTTGAAGCCATTGTTCTCCGTCCTAGTCTCCAAGGAGAAACAGAAAACAAGTTTGCTCCCTCCTCCCTTTGGCTTCCTCTCACATATTTATACATGGCTATCATATCTCCTCTCAGCCTTCTCTTCTTCAGGCTTCTTCAGCTCCTTAAGCCGCTCCTCATAGGGCTTGTTCTCCAGACCCTTGATCATTTTAGTCACCCTCCTCTGGACACATTCCAGCTTGGTTCTTGTGGGTTTTTTCGGGCTATAGGGCCATGTTCTAGAGGCATTTCTCCTGACGTTTTGCCTGCATCTATGGCAAGCATCCTCAGAGGTAGTGAGGTCTGTTGGAATTAGGACAATGGGTTTATATATCTGTGGAATGGCTGGGGTGGGACAAGGAGCTCTTCCCTGCTGCAGCTAGGTGTGAATGTTTCAGCTGATCACCTTCATTAGCATTTGAAGGCCTGCCTGAGCCTGGGAAAATATTCCATGCAGCTGTGGACAAGTCTACATAGGGACCACCAAACGCAGCGCCCAAACACGAATCAAGGAACATGAAAGGCACTGCAGACTACTTCAACCAGAGAAGTCAGCCATAGCAGAGCACCTGATGAACCAGCCTGGACACAGCATTTTATTTGAGAACACAGAAATGCTGGACCACACCAACAACCACCATGTCAGACTACACAGAGAAGCCATTGAAATCCACAAGCATGTGGACAATTTCAACAGAAAGGAAGAGACCATGAAAATGAACAAAATCTGGCTACCAGTATTAAAAAACTCTAAAATTACAACAGCAAAACAGCAGAGAGGAAACAACCAGGCACATCTTAACACCTCTCAACAAAAGGTTTTCCCAGGCTCAGGCAGGCCTTCAAATGCTAATGAAGGTGATCAGCTGAAACATTCACACCTAGCTCTAGCAGGGAAGAGCTCCTTGCCCCACCCCAGCCATTCCACAGATATATAAACCCATTGTCCTATTCCAACAGACCTCACTACCTCTGAGGATGCTTGCCATAGATGCAGGCGAAACGTCAGGAGAAATGCCTCTAGAACATGGCCCTATAGCCCGAAAAAACCCACAAGAACCCTAGTGATTCCAGCCATGAAAGCCTTCGACAATACAACACACACTTTATCATCTCTCTTCAATTGTGGTGCCCAGAATTGGACACAGTATTCCAGGTGTGGTCTAACCAAAGCGGAATAGAGGGGTAGCATTACTTCCCTAGATCTAGACACTATGCTCCTATTGATCCATTAGTTTTTTTGCTGCCACATCACACTGTTGGCTCATGTTTAACTTGTTGTCCACGAGGACTCCAAGATCTTTTTCACATGTACTGCTCTCGAGCTAGGCATTGATCAAGACAGTTAAAATGTAACACATTAAAATACGTAAGTCAAAGTAAAACAAAAACATAGTGACAATATAAAGCAGGCATCAAAATCAGCAACCAATAACAACATTCAGTTTATCGTCATGGGTGGGTGGACTGGTGCAACAATAATATAATGGATAGGGCTAATAAGTACATGACAAACCTTCTATGTTTCAGGTAGAACAGAATTCCCTGAGCATGCAAAAATGTATTTTGTGTGTTAAGAAATACAATACATGTGTAACATGTGTACATATGTATGCAGTTATGTCAAATATTTTATTTACACACACACATACGTATATACATAAGAGTTTTACAGTAACAAAAAATACCAATCAAACAGCAGATCCAACAAACGACGGAAATAACTGGGTGGGCCCCATATGGCACTGTCATCTATAGATAAACTAGCGGTCCCCTGCCACACGTTGCTGTGGCCCAGTCTGTTGATCTGGAAAATAAAGTAATAAGAAAGTGTTGGTTTCTAATATATTTAATGTCTTTATGCTTGTGGGTAAACAGTATTTCTTGCTGTTTCTTTGCCAGTGTTGATATGGAGATTGTCTGGTTTGCCTACTCTGGAACATGCAACATATAATTGTCCTTCTTTAGGGGTCCCTTTCAAATCTTTGATACAGCATCTGTCATATACATATGTGTGTGTGTGAATGGCTGGATGGCCCTTTGTCGGGAGGGCTTTGATTATGTTTTCTTGCCATGGTGAAGGGAGTTGGACTGGATGGCCTTAAGGCAGCATTTCTGAACCTGGAAAATCAAGGAACGGGGGGGGGGGGTCACCAGGGTGGTGTCAGAAGGGTCACCAAAGACCACCAGAAAACACAGTATTTTCTGTTGGTCATGAGGGTTCTGTGTGGGAAGTTTGCCCCAATTCTGTCATTGGTGGGGTTCAGAATGCTCCCTGATTGTAGATGAACTATAAATCCCAGTAACTTCAACTCCCAAATGTCAAGGTCTATTTCCCCCAAACTCCATTTGTGTTTATATTTGGGCATATTGAGTATTTGTGCCAAGTTTGGTCCAGATCCATCATTGTTTGAGTCCACCATGCTCTCTAGATGTAGGTGAACTACAACTCCAAAACACAAGTTCAATACCCACCAAACCCTTCTAGTGTTTTCTGTTGGTCAGGAGAGCCCTGTGTGCCAAGTTTGGTTCAATCCCATCGTTGGTGGAGTTCAGAATGCTCTTTGATTATAGGTGAACTATAAATCCCAGCAACTACAACTCCCAAATGACAAAATCATAATGTTTTGAGTGATGGTCACTCCTTGTGTTGTGAGATGATTTGTTGTCAAATTTGGTGTGATTTTGTTCATTGGTTCTTTTGTTTTTAAGGTACTCATTACGCATAGAGCATTTATATATATATAGATAAGTGAAGTTGTGTTGCGACGTGCTTTCTTAATTATTTCCCTCTTTGTTCCAAGCAGTGAATGCATAAAGATCCAGCCAACTGACATCCAGCCCGATATATTCAGCTACTTGCTCCACATCATGTACACCGGAAAGGGACCAAAACAGATGGTCAATCAAACCCGGCTGGAGGAAGGCATCCGTTTCCTGCACGCTGACTACCTTTCCCGCATGGCGATCGAAATGAACCAGATGCTCTCTCCGGAGACTCTTTCCTCCTCAAACCTGTATGGAATCCAAATCTCCACCACGCACAAGACGGTCAAGGAAAACCCCCAGGCGAAGGAAAGTTTAACCAGCCTCGGGAGTCGAACTGCTAGTCAGGGAGACCACCCCCAGCTTCAGCTGTCTCTGGCCATTGGGCTCGACGACGGCTCTTTGGAGCAGCAGATTTCTCATCCTTCGGTCCAAACGACTGCAAAACCAACAGAGGAGCCTGCAAACCCACCTGTAACTATAAAACAGGAGAAAGTCGACCCAGAGCCAATTGTATCTCAGAGTCATGCATCTTCCTCCCCGGAGGTCAGGAGCCCAGCTTTTTCTAAAGCCAACCTCAAAGTTCATTTATGTCAATATTGCGGGGAGCATTTTGAATCTCGAAGCAACTTGCGTGAGCATTTGTTTACTCATGTGTCCGGATCTTTGCCATTTGGGGTCCCGGCCTCGATCCTGGAAAGCAATGACCTTGGCCAGCTCCAGCCCCTTAACGAAAACCACGACGCTGTTGACAGTCACCGGCTCGGCTCTTTCCTTCGGAGAGAGAGTGAGCACCAATTGGAACACCCATCCCGTGGCAACCTTGAACCGCTGCCCATTGGCCAGCTTTCCTTGGTATCCAAAGACTCGGAGCCCATGGAATTGAACTGCAACTTTTCCTTTTCGCGGAAAAGGAAGATAACCTGCACGGTCTGTGGCCACAAGTTTCTTCGAAAGAGCCAGCTGGTGGAGCACATGTACCTGCACAAAGGGAAACACTTCAAACTGGGGAGATGCCAGAGGCTGGCCCCGAAGTTTCAGCCATATAGCGACAATTGGACGCAGAGTATCCCCAAAAGTGCCTCCCACTCGCAAGCTCATGCCGACTCCCAAAATGCGTTGGATCCTGACCTCGCTCAAGAGAACATTGCCACCATCCTTGTCGAATAGCTCCGTCGTTGTCTGTCCTTTTAATTATATGTGTTTTAAGCACACGGATGGACAGCGTTCATCTCTGTGTCCCTTTCGCTAGTGCCAAAAGTGTTCTTCTAAAATATGAACAGTTACTTGAAAGCCCCATTCTCTGTTCATTTCATAGTGTTATGGGAATAGTTGTTTACCATAGCCATCCTGGGAAGAAACCAGTGGGGAGACCATGTGGGAAAGGCAGTATAATAATAATACGGTAGAATCCCGCTTATCCAACCTTCGCTCATCCAACATTTTGTATTATCCAACGCAGTCTTCCCCCCGCCCAAATCCACAGCTGTTTCAATACATTGCGATGTTTTGATGCTAAATTTGTAAATACAGTAATTACTACATAATTTACCATGTATTGAATTTCTTTTTCCTGTTGATTTGTTGTAAAACATGATGTTTTGGTGCTTAATTTGTAAAATCATAACGTAATTTGACGTTTAATACGGTTTTCCTTCACCCCTTCTTATTATCCAACATTTTTGCTTATCCAGTGTTTTGGATAAGTGAGGCTCTATTGTAATAATAATAGTAATTATTATTATTATTATAATTATTATTATTTTAAAAAATCCCAGGTGACAGAAGAATTGATGAGAAGCAACTGGAAAAGCTTACACGATATCAGGATTTAAAGATAGAACTGCAAAGCCTGGCACTAGCCAATTAAAGTGATCCCAGTGGTGATTGGCACACTGGGTGCAATGCCTAAAGACCTTGGCCTGCACTTAAAAACAATCGGCACTGGCAAAGTTACCACCTGTCAGCTGCAAAAGGCCACCTGACTCGGATCTGCACACATTATTTGCCGATACATCACACAGACGTCGACACTTGGGAAGTGTCTTACATGTGATTCAATACAAAAGCCAGCATAGTGATCTTATTTACTGTGTATTAATCTTGTTGTGTGTCAAATAATAATAAAAAAGGTGGTCCCAGTGGTAAATGACACACTGGGTTCAGTGCCTAAAGACCTTGGCCTACAGTTAAAAACAATTGACTCTGACAAAATTACCATACAAATGGTCACCCTGCTTGGATCTGCATACATTATTCGCTGATACATCTCACAGTCTTTAGACACTTGAGAAGTGTCTGACGTGTAATCAAATACAAAAGCCAGCAGAGTGATCTTGTTTGCTGTGTACCAATCTTGTTGTGTATCAAATATTTATTATTATTGTTATTTTATTTCTTACCTGCCTCTCTTGGTGGCTGGAGGTAGGTTACAGAATAATCAAAACACATAAACATTGTAAAAATGCCACAAATACACATATTAAAATGTACTTATATAAAAGATACATATTAAAACGTATTTGCATAAAATACATATTAATGCACAAAATAGGTTAAACAAAGGACACATATTTAAAATTCATGCTTAAAAAGTGTCTGGGTAAGCTTGCCAGAAGAGAGAGATCTTAAGATAGTGTATGATGGAATAACATCTCATGTATGTATCAACACTGGAAAAGATTATTGCCAAAGGTAAGAAACTCAAGAAATGCATGCAGAGGGGGGTCAGAACTTTGTATGCCGAGGGTTCTGCATTCAGATTTTGGCGGGTTTCGACTGAAAAAACTAGTCCTGGTCCAAATTAGCAGACAGTCCCCCCAGTCTGGTTCACTTATACAACAGTTTCATCACTGGGTAGCTGCGGGTTTTCTGGGTTATATGGCCATGTTCCAGAAGCATACTCTCCTGATGTTTTGCCCACATCTATGGCAGGCACCCTCAGAGCTTGTGGGGTCTGTTGGAAACTAGGCAAGTCCAGGGTGGGAGAAAGAACTCTTGTCTGCTTGAGGCAATCAGCCACCTTGATTAGCATTGAATGGCCTTGCAGCTTCAAAGCCTGGCTGCATCCTGCCTGGGGGAGTCCTTTGTTGGGAAGTGTTAGCTGGCCCTGATTATTTCCTGTCTGAAATTCCCCTGGGATTTTTGGGGGGTTTTTTAATATTATTTTTTGTTTATTGTCCTGATTTTACAGTTTTTAAATAGTGGTAGCCAGATTTTGTTCATTTTCATTGTTTCCTCCTTTCTGCTGACATTGTCCACATGCTTGTGGATTTCAGTGGCTTCTCTGTGTAGTCTGGCATGGTAGTTGTGAGAGTGGTCTAGCATTTCTGTGTTCTCAAATAATATGCTGTGTCCAGGTTGGTTCATCAGGTGCTCTGCTATGGCTGACTTCTCTGGTTGAAGTAGTCTGCAGTGCCTTTCATGTTCCTTGATTCATGTCTGGGCAATGCTGCGTTTGGTGGTCCCTATGTAGACTTGTTCACAGCTGCATGATATACGGTAGACTCCTGCAGAGGTGAGAGGATCCCTCTTGTCCTTTGTTGAACGTACCATTTGTTGGATTTTCTTAGTGGGTCTGTGGATAGGTTGTGTTTCTTCATCAGTCATAGATCCCACTGGAGCATTGCAAGGAATCCCACTGGAGCATTGCAACACACCCAAATACCTGGGAGTCACTCTGGACCGTGCTCTTACCTACAAGAAGCACTGCCTGAATATCAAGCAAAAAGTGGGCTAGAAACAATATCATACGAAAGCTGACTGGCACAACCTGGGGATCACAACAAGACACAGTGAAGACATCTGCCCTTGCGCTATGCTACTCTGCTGCTGAGTATGCATGCCCAGTGTGGAACACATCTCACCATGCTAAAACAGTAGATGTGGCTCTTAATGAGACATGCCGCATTATCACGGGGTGTCTGCGCCCTACACCACTGGAGAAATTACACTGTTTAGCCGGTATTGCACCACCTGACATCTGTCGGGAAGTAGTAGCCAATAGTGAAAGGACCAAGGCAGTGACATCTCCAGCTCATCCCCTGTTTGGGTATCAGCCAGCACGTCAACGACTTAAATCAAGAAATAGTTTTCTAAGATCTAAAGAGACACTCGCTGGAACACCCCAGCAAGCGAGAGTCCAAAAGTGGCAGGCTCAAACCCAGAATCTCAATCAATGGCTGATACCAAATGAGAGACTCCCCCCTGGGCACACAGAAAACTGGGCGACTTGGAAGGCGCTGAACAGACTGCGCTCTGGCACCACGAGATGCAGAGCCAATCTTAAGAAATGGGGCTACAAAGTGGAATCCATGACATGCGAGTGTGAAGAAGAGCAAACCACTGACCACCTGCTGCAATGCAACCTGAGCCCTGCCACATGCACAATGGAGGACCTCCTTGCGGCAACACCAGAGGCACTCCAAGTGGTCAGATACTGGTCAAAGGGCATTTAATCAAATACTAAGCTTGCAAACTTTGTGTTTTGTCTGTTTGTTTGCTTTGTTAAAAATGTAATACAAAAGCTTCCCTATGCAGTCATAAATGTGGGTGAAACAGCAGGAGAGAATGCTTCTGCAACATGGCCATACAGCCCGGAAAACTCACAGCAATCTAGTGATACTCACCTTCTTGTTGAAGTTGGGATATTCCCAGGTGTTTTGAGCTGTGGAGTTTGTATATAGGGATGTAGATATAGTTAAAGTGTGAGATTCGTTGCCACAAAGATTGAGGGATTAATTCCCTTTTCCAGGGAATTAAACACATTCATAGGCTTGGGGACATCACTGGCTCTTGTCTGCATAGTTACATATCATCTTGAGTATCAGAGGCACTCTTCCTCCGTGTATCCATTTCTGGGATAAGTAAGATAAAAAATACAGCTATGCTGCTTGTCTTGATGACAGATCTCCCAAAGGCATTGGTCAGCCACTGAACAGAATACAAGATTAGAGAAGCCATAGGTCTGTTCTAGCTTGGCTCTTGTCTTTTTATGACCTCTCTGGAGCAAAATGTCCTTCTTTGACTTCTTTGCCTCCCACCATTACCTCTAATAAGGAAATGGTAATGAAGAATGCCTCTATTTTAGTGTCTCACTGTTTGTGAAATGAGAAACAAACCTCTCAAATTGGATTCTGGAATTGTAATTAAATACATTCAAAACAAATAGGATTTCTGTTTATTTTGTTACGGCTCTACATAAGGCTGCAGCGCTCAACCAATTGACTGGCCAGGGTAATTGAGTTACACACTTGTGATCAAGTAGAAATATGCCCCTGATTAATCATGTTGTGAATTACTGGGTTTTTTAAAGACTTAATAAAAGAACTTATCAAAAAAGACTTGCTGGAATGATAACATCATCAATTAATTAAATAAATAAATGTCTGGTTTGAGGTATTTTAATACACAGAATCTTAGGATTTTGGTGCAGGAAAGGACCACAAGGCTATCTAGTCCACCTCTCTGCCATGTAGGACTGTAAAACTAAAACATTCCTGAAAGATGTCCATCCAAACTTCAAGACTTCCAAAGAAGGAGAATCCACTACAAACCAAGACAATCTGTCCTACTGTTGAACAGCAATCACAGTATAAAAATTCTTCCTGACACTTAGAATCAGAGTTGGATGAGACCTCATGGGCCATCCAGTCCAACCCCCGGGCAAGAAGCAGGAATATTGCATTCAAATCACCCCTGACAGATGGCCATCCAGCCTCTGTTTAAAAGCTTCCAAAGAAGGAGCCACCACCACGCTCCGGGACAGAGAGTTGCACTGCTGAACGGCTCTCACAGTCAGGAAGTTCTTCCTCGTGTTCAGATGGAATCTCCTCTCTTGTAGGTAGAATCCTTTTTCTTGTGATTTTAATTCATTGGTTTGTAGGGTTGTTGTGAGTTTTATGGGCTGCATATTCCAAAAGCATTCTCTCCTGACATCTAAGGCAGGCATCCTCAGAGGTTGTGAGTTCTTTTGGAAACTAAGAAAGTGAGTTTTTTTGCGCAACACACAGATCTTAGCCACGTCCCATGCACAAGACTCACAGACGAGTAGAAATGAACAGAAAAATCTTTACTCTTAATAGCAGAGATGAAATACAAACCTGCAATGTTGCATACAAAAAACAAACAGTGCAAGAAACTTACATAGTGTTGTAGGTTTTTTCGGGCTATATGGCCATGTTCTAGAGGCATTCATAGAATCAAAGAGTTGGAAGAGACCTCATGGGCCATCCAATCCAACCCCCTGCCAAGAAGCAGGAATATTGCATTCAAATCACCCCTGACAGATGGCCATCCAGCCTCTGTTTAAAAGCTTCCAAAGAAGGAGCCTCCACCACGCTCCGGGGCAGAGTTCCATTCTCTCCTGACATTTCGCCTGCATCTATGGCAAGCATCCTCAGAGGTAGTGAGGTCTGTTGGAACTAGGAAAAATGGGTTTATATATCTGTGGAATGACCAGGGTGGGACAAAGAACTCTTGTCTGCTGGAGCTAGGTGTGAATGTTTCAACTGACCACCTAGCATTTGATGGCCTGGCAGTGCCTGGG